TAATTCCTGCTAACAAATGACTCATTCAGAAAACATTAAAGTGTCAATTGTAGTTAATCGCCTCTTCACGTGTGTGGATGTAAAAGCTACATTTGCACTCTGCTGTGCCGAAGTGCACTGGGTCTTTATTAAAGACACATCTCCAACGTGAAAGTGGTCTAAACACGATGCTTTGGATTACTACAGTTTAATACAACTGTGGGGAAAAGTCGCTGGAGTAAATCGACTGATGATTTTCCCTCTGATTGCAACTGTCGCGCATCATGTCTAACGCACACACGCACTTTATTGTGATATATTTTACAGACTCTTGGCGTCAGTGAATACAGTGAATACATTTTAATCAGGTATTAGGTGCGTTAGTTAGTTAAACTGTATATTTCTGCCACCAAAACAAAACAAACATCCATAATCTTTCGTGCACATGGGTACGTTTCCTAGTGCGTAAAAACAAACAAAACAATTAAAGGAAAGAAAGAAAAAACTTTGACTGGTCTGAACATTTCTTTCTGTTGGTAGCTGTTTCAATTCTCCACTTTAAGGTTATTGTTCTCCTTCATGCAGGAACCTGCCTTCACGCCGGTCCGGGCTGGTGTGAATTAAGAGTCATCAGGCGCGCCTGACACGGTCACTATCATCACTGCTCCACAACTTCAAATCCACAGCTGAATGCGCTGATGCAAGAAGGAAAAATAAGTGCTGGCTGATGAGGACTTTGATGGTGTTCCGTAAATAGGATTAGCAGATAAACTCTTGAAAAGATCTCCTTTATTTATTTTTATGTTGAATTTAAATACACCTTTCTAAACCCACTGAAGCTCGACGCCCATCGCAAATCTATGGGGTCAAATTTAAAACGTGCAGGCAAAGGTGCTCGCGCCTTGCCGTTGTCAACTGACATCCATGAGAATCATTAATTTTCTTGATCAGAAACAGGTAAGGGCTTAATTTTCCAAATTGCCCACCGGAGCTGCTGAAGCGCCCTCTGGGTTCCGCCTCCAACATGCGTTGCCACTGGTAACCTGGTGGAAAGGGGGTGGGGTTTGAATGAGAAGCGCCAATAGAGGGTATAAAGGAAGTTGAGTGACATGTTAGCAGCTCCCAATCAGCGCGTTTGGCCCGCCCGTGCCGCATGCCCAGCCTACTGGCTATATAAACCACACTGACAGCTAGGTAATCCAGTCTGATCGCAGATCGTCTGGCAAATCACAGGACTTAATAGAAGCAAGACATCCGACACAAGCAAACCCTCTTGCTCAACACTTACAAAAATGAAAGCAATAAGCCCCGTGCGATCCTTCCGGAAAAACAGCGTGAATTTATCAGAGCACTCCTTGGGAATCTCTCGGAGCAAGACCCCGGTGGATGACCCGCTCAGCCTGCTGTACAACATGAACGACTGCTACTCCAAGCTGAAGGAGCTGGTGCCCAGCATCCCCCAGAACAAGAACGTCAGCAAGATGGAAATCCTGCAGCATGTCATCGACTACATCCTGGACCTGCAGATTGCGCTGGACTCCAGTGTCGCACTAACCAGCCTGCATCACCCTTCCCGGCCGGGGCAGACTCCGTCCAGGACTCCTTTGACCACCCTCAACACAGATATCAGCATCTTGTCATTACAGGTAATTACACTGTAGCTGAGCGCGTATCCTAATTGAAAAGCGACAGTCCAGAGTGTTGTGAGAGAAAGATTTGGTGGATTTTTTTTCTCTTTTTTTCATGTGCGCGCATAAGCAGTGCGCCTTTGTAGCCTATGCGTAACTCGCACAAAATGGCTTGTTGGAAAGGAGGAGGGGGGGAAATGGCATGTTATATATTTTTTTCCTCCTTTTGTTCAGAATCAGATGAGGAAGAGATTTGACCTACATAACACTATTGCAAACGCCAGACACATCATTCGGATACTGCTTAAAGAATTAACATTTGGTCGGTTTGTTTGTTTGTTTTCAGTCCCCGGAGTTGCCATCAGAGCTGATGACAGATGACAGCCGGACTCTGCATCGTTAAAGCGGTAAGTAGGCTGTCCTCATGTCTGCTGCTGCATTCTGTCCAGGGCTTTTAGGCTCCGCTACAGCCTGTCTCCCAGTCTGCTGGAGCAGAATGGGCTTGAATTACCATTTACCCATCCATTTGTTCCACCGCGAATGTCGTCTCACGTTGCTGTAATGGTCCCACTAATGTTTTTGTATGAGAATGCGATGCAACACTGGGGCGTCTGTTATGGCAAGCACGACTTGGGTACATTTTTATTATTATTATTATCATTATCACTATTACTATTATTATTATTATTATTAGTTACAAGGCTCATCTGAAACAAAATTAAAGATCACATCACTGGCTTCTGCGAGACTTTAGTGTGTCACAGATTGATCGAACTATTTCGTGTCTCATCTGCTGTGTGGAAAGACGTAGCAGACTGATATTTCGCGCTGGAGTTTAGTGGCAAGGTATTCGCTCCAGGCTGCTTGGTTTACTGTATATAAGTAGCAATCGTCAGGGTTGTATTATACCCTCTTGTGTCTATAATGAAGAGCATCTGCAACAGGAAAATAATGGCTGTTTGGATTACTGCTACTACGATGTCTGCACATAATTGGTACAAGAAGTGGGTAGGCGCCAGCTGAGCGGCAATTACGCTGATTCTTCCCCAGATTGTAGGCTGAAGTTGTGCGAGAAGTGTGTGTGTGTGTGTGTGTGTCTGCCTGTGTGTGCGTGCGCCCTCTCCTTTCCCTCTCTCTCTCTTTCTGTGTGTGTGTACATCTGGAGCGCAGGGTTTGCTTAGTATTGGGAGTGTTTGGTTAAATGTTAAAAACTGCGGCTTCCTCCCTGGCGCCAGTCTGTCCGGATCTCTGCCCTGTTTGCATTTTCTAAACACGCCTCTCTTTCTCAATCTTTTGCAGGTGTTTGGTCAAGACGTAAAAACACACACAGGACCTGGGGAGCAGGACTTCTCTCCCCCCCCACCCCCTTCTCTCTCTCCCTTCCCTCACCTCCAACCTCTGTCCTCCAGGCCTGGATTTTTTTTTCTCCTCTTCTGACGCTGAAATCAAGAGACTTTTGCTTATTATGGGACAATCTTTATGTGATGTGTTTTCTGTTTGGACACTTCATTATTATTTAACTTAAGACTTTTTTATTATTATTATTTGTGGGTCCTTTCTGGAAATGGAAGGCGCGTTATATTCCCGACAGCGGGAGGAAAAACGAGATTGTCACAAGGATTATCCTCCACCCCACCACCACCACCGACTTCACCCCATCCCTCTTCCTCCCTCTTCACCCCCCCTCCTGTCCTTCTCCTCCTTGTTGAAGTCTTCGCTTTTTTTGCGGAGGTGGGAACGTAAATAGACAGCTTGGTTAGTTACTGTAAAAAGTTTAGTCTTGTCAGAATTGTTGGCACATGAAGGACTGGACGTTGTTTATTAAAAAAAAAAAAGTTAAAATGAAAAGAATGAAACCTTGTGAACTCTCATCGGGAGTTTATCTTGTATAGTTGCAGGAATTTCAAACTTCTGCAAAAGTGTAATGTTGTACTTAATTATGCTGAAACTTTTTATAAAAGTAATGTAAATTGTACCTTTTTATACAAAATAAATCAAAAACGCCATTTGGATATGTGTCATTTGGGGGAAGAACCACTTCGGGTTGGGGGTAAATGTGGTGGGCTTTTGTTTGTTTGTTCAGGAGATATTAAACCAGTGCGTAAAATGATCTAGTCAGATACAGAACAAGCTGAGGTTATCTGTGTTGGCTTTAGGTTGGATGTAAAGAAAACATCTGAGATGCGTGAAAAACTAATCGTACAGAGTGTCCTTATCAGACCTGCAGTATGTGACCTATAATAGTCTTAAAACACAGCGTCAACACTTCTCCAAGGCAAACACGACCTGGAGGCACGGTTGCGTAAAAGCTTACTGAGGACGCACTGACTGCACTCTTACTTTCTCACATGCCGCTGAAAGTAAAAGGGATTAACTGGTTTAGGTTGTGAGAGCCAGAAGCCGAGGATCTATTGTTTTTTTTGTTTTTGTGTTTTGTTTTGGTTTTAAATGGTAGACAATTGTGGGAAAGAGTTGAAACTATAGGTCTGTGATGGGTTGGATTCCGTAAGTCGAGCTATTAACTTGCCTTTCCCCTTTTTGCAAAACAGAAGTACGAGTCAGATCAAAACGTCCTAGAAGCATCTGTATTCAGACCAGATTTTGACTAATCAAACCCCACCGGTGTCCACAGTTTGGACTTTATCAGCTTGATTCCTGAGAAATTAAACTATAAACCAAGTCAAACGATGACGGGAGTTCAAAATCAAAAAGCCACCCGTGGTCATTTGGCAGTCCACTGTTCTTTAAAGCAGGCATCAAAAGCGGACTGAGGTAGAAAGGGGGGCAGGGGGCGGCTAATGCGTGCTGTTGGGTGACGTGATGGACCCCGCAGTGAGACCTGACAGTCACGTGTTGCAGGATCTCAAATGTTTCCATACCACTGACCCGCCAAGGAATCCGTGGCCTCCCATTAGGTGATTATTTTATTTATTTATTTATTTTAATAACCCCAAGGGATACTTAAAAATCCCCAAGTGTGGAAACAGTCACTCTTATACAAACCAGGAAAAATCTATTTATAAATAAAGCATGTCTTAAAGTTAAGACTCATTTACAGTTAAATGTAGAAGTACCAGAAATAAAAACGGCTCCATAAAGGACACTTTAAGAGTTACTGTGTTGAAGTTCAGAGTCCTCAAACCTGACAGGCGGTGTCTGTACAACCAGGCAGTAGCACGTTTGTATGAAGAGTGCGCCATCTATCGGTCAATACGAATCCTACCACTGAAGACATTTGCTTTTCCTCACCACATCATTAGGTAAAATATGAAAGCTATTAAAAATGTGACTTAATGTGCGTATTCTGGCCTATTTACCAGCGAATTCCAATAATGTACTGCACAAGCAGCTGAGTTAAGTCGAAGAAAACAAAAAAGAAAACCCCCGACAGACTGATTTCAAGAGTCCACATACTGAGGATGTTTATTGATTCACAAAACACACTTACATGTGACGCTTTGCAGTCTAGTTCATGCATTTCTATCACACAGAAAACAGCACAAGTGTCTACACTTTGTTCTACCTGAAATATTCTAGCAACCTCACAACATGCTTTGAAGGCCGAATGCCTCAGAAACACTAGACTTGTTTTCTCTTCACAGTCATGGCTACTGTTCTATAAGCAACACTTTATTTTGTTTTATTTTTTACTGTAACATTACCGTCGATACACACAGCAAATCCAAACTAACGACAAAAACACACGGGACAAACAAACAGACCTTACAAACATTTTTTGGTATTTAACCATCAACTATCAGATTTATCCTTTTCAAAAATCAAGGTGGTTGCTTTATTAAACCTTACAACTCTTCTTTGACTTTGTCCTTAACAACACAACACTCATCTACGCTAGTTCATCGCAACACAATACAAACATCAAGAACCACACTCCGCATGACCCTTCTTAGTGTAACAAACACGTGGCTTCTTAGAGGACGCTCTCCCTCTCGTCGCCAAGGCTGATGGTTCGCAGGTTCTGGTTGTGGTGGATGGTGGCTGCCGTGGTGTTGGCAGTGCTGCTGCCGGGGATGATGATGACATCTGGGGAGATGATGTTGGAGCAGGCGGACTCTGTGCCTGTGATGGTAGCCTGCTGCTGATGGCTGTTGTTGGTGTTAGTGTTGGTGTCGCTGGGGCTGCTTGTGTTGTTATTAAGGGTGGTGTTGCTGGCGCTGTGGTTGAGGTTGCTGACCCCGCTGGATGGCCACCCCTCATCTGGGCTGCTGGCCATAAGGCTGGCCTCAGATGGAGCTTCGGAGCAGATGGACATGCGGGCCAATGTGGCATCCTGCAGGCCGCTCAGGCTGCTGGGTAGGGGGCCTCTCTTCTTCACCAAGCCCTCCAGCTCCAGTTCAATCAGACTGGGCTTCAGTGCATCTCTCTGTCTGCCAGTCTCTCCTTCAGCCTCTTCCAGGGATGGGTCTGAGGAGCTTTCACTGGAGCGCATCCCCGAATCGGACGAGTCCTTCTTATCGATGAGGATTTCGGTGAGGAAGCCAGGCTTGGCAAGCAGCCCAGTTGGCTTGGAGCTGTGGGAAGACAGAGCACCAAATTTTGCCTCTTTATGGAGGAGAGGTGTGGTGTTGTCAGAGTCTTCTGGGCCCGAGTCTTCATCATTGGGCAGCTTGTGGTAATATGACCCAGCTCCTTTCTTCTTGGAGCCTGGAGTCCTGGAGGACGAGCTGTGATCCAGCTTTTCATCCTCTTCGCTGATGGGGTCTAATCCATCGGTCCCTGAGGCAAAGTCTGTGGCATCAGAATTCTTGGAGCTTCTCTTGGTGAAAGACTTGCGGCTGTCTTGATCAGATCCTTCCTTGGCCTGAGAAGAGGGAAGAAGTTTCAATGAGGAGAACATAAAAATATACTGAATCCTCTGCTGCTGACCTCTGAGAGACCACTGACAAAAGGATTCCTATCTCTGCCTCTGGTGCCAAGACAAACAAAGAATATAAGCCAATAATGATGAAATGCAAGAAGCAGTGGTCTCCATTTTCTCAGCTGAGACTTCGAGTCCCACCATTTCTCAGTACAGCAAAATACAACATTTCAAAATCACAAGTTAACTACACGGTACTTTCCTCCAGTCATGACAGTAGAGACTTATTTGAATGAGCTATTTCTGCCATCAGCGATGTGGTGACAAAAACACGACAGTGTACTTGTGACTGTCCACCCACCCCTTTGTCCTCTGAGCTGGCAGCCTGAAGGAATTGTCCAGGGTGGGGCTGAACAGGCCTCTCTCCCCCACTGCCGGACATCTCCAGCTGGGCCATCTGAGCGATGTACTCCCTGTAGGCATCATGATACTCAGCCTGCTGCTTGTCTGTCAGCTTGCAGATGTCATTAGAGGATTCCTGGGAATTCAGGCTAGACATGCTTGAAGTGCGGTGATTTGCCACCTGAAAAAATGAGGAAAAAGTTTGGTTGGGGTGCAACATTCATCCGAGTCTGTCATGTGCTGAGTACAGAGTGCCTTATGGTTCTGGGCTATTGACTTAAGAGTGCATAAAACAAGAGTGCAACAGCATTTACTCTGTGTGCAATCAGACATATACAGCAGCATTCTAAACTGCATGAATATGTACATGAGCTTTTGTAGCTCAGATTGATTTTATTTGTAGAGTTTATTTTTTGCACATCTTATATTTCGACTGTATTTCTTACATACTGTTTGGCATCTGTCGTGTACAGCAAAGGAAGAGTTTCACTGTACAGGGAAACATGTTTCTTTAATGTGCATATGACTAGAAAACTTTGAAACTTGAAACTTGAAACTGATCATTAGATCTGAAATATTCTAAATCTGAGAATTGAATGTTTCCAGCAAAGACCGCGTGTGGAGTGGGAACTGGAGGTTATCTGAAACAGCAGCAGTGTCACTCGACGTGTGACCGTTTGCATGTGTCTCAGACATTTTGCACACTGGAAATACAAAAAGGTGAAAATACCAAATAGGGGGCCCTTTGACACCTTTTGGTTTGCAGCAGTGTCTAAGTATTTTTAATTCTGCAAATTTCAAGACCATCGTCAGCTTCCTCCGCTGTGCTCTTCTTTTTTTTTGGGTTAAACCACATTTATGTGAAACTGCTGAGGCCATCAACACACTGGCTTGGTGCAGCGACCATTCAACAGTTTGGGGTCCGACTATTTCCAAGTGTAACACGATAACAGTTACGCTTAAAAGTAGCAACTTCAATACGGTTGCACATCTGCATGTGTTAAAATAATGTGCCCACACACACACTGGTTGATCACGCCGCAGTTGTGATATTTCTATAACAAGCTCGTGACAGGAAGACTAACCGGCCAGTGTGAGTTGTTGCTGCGTCTCACAGGCTCCTCCAGACCCACGCCGCTGAGTTCCTCAAAGCTGAGGTTGAGGCTGAAGGCGGCTGTTTCGCGCTGGGCTCCCCCTGAGCGTCTGCTGGGCTCCCCGAGGTGCACGCTGCTGCCCTGCTCGCTAGCAGCTCGGGACTCATCCTGAAGTGCTGCCTGGCTTTCAGCATGCCGCTGTTCTATGACCTTAAACAATACAGGACAATATATGTGATCAACAAGTCACTTAGCGTGTTGGTTTTTGGTGTGTTTAAATGTAACAAGTACATCAGACTGCAGCAACAACAACAACAAAAGCTTGTGAGAACAGAATTGGGAGCTGTTCCTTAAGTAGATCTACTCAGCTGTCCCCTCCTCCCTGACAATACCCTCCCTTCATCCAGATATCAGTCAGCAATCTTGAACCAGATGGCTGTGCTAGCTGCATCCTGGCAACACAACACTGGTTTTTACATGGAGCTGCAAGGCCACTGCACTCTCCAGCTGCTTCTACCCAAGCCCTGCATAGGATCTCCGGTAAAACACGACCAATCTGGGGCTCTTGCCTTGGCATTAAGAGCACAGACTGACATTTGATGAAGTGGAGCCGGCTACATGTGTTAGTGATTTGAGCCGACTAGACCTCTGGCTGGCTGACTAGCGCCTTTCTCGTAATACGGATTATAAAATCTCCATCCCAATATCTCAGCACAACACGAGATGTCTTATTATGTGATATTGTCTGGATTCTGGCACAAACCACAACTGAAACAAATATCACCAGCGGGGCCCTGGCATGGTTGAGTATACGTCAGAGTCGCAGAGGGGCAGTTGATATTGTTTGTGGCGGACTAATGCTTTCCCTGTCAGCCTACATATGACCACTTCTGTTCACAAGAGTTTAACGGGTAATTAATAAAAAAACAACTTTATTTATCCAGGAAAGGAAACTCGTGAGATTTAGAGCCTATTTTTTCAACAGTATCACAGGCCCAGAAAGGCAAGATTGACCTAGCATCTTTTCTGGAGCATGAGAAACCAGAGCTTCAAGAGAAAACTCGCACAAGAATGGTGAGAGCATGCACACAATATTTAGCAAGATGTTGAGTTGCACAATATTATTGCATTAAAGGCACCTAAATGAAGCAATCTAGTCTCACCATTCCTCTGAAGAGCTGCCAGTCACCAAAGTTCATCTCCATCTCTTTCTTCAGCTCATCTAGGTTGCAATGCGTGAGCACCCGACCATTTATATTGGCCTGCAACGGATAAAAAAAAGGACTGGTTTGCTCACAGATTCAATGCAATTGCCTAGAAAAGCCCACAGAGTAGCGAGAACTTCATGAAGAAAAACACTGCATTCATATGTTGCAATAAATGTGACCATCGAAAGAATGCCACACAAAGATGACGACAAGAAAAAATGAGGTGTTCACATAAACTTCTTTTAGTTTAAACGCGTACCTTCTTAATGGTGGAGGTGTACTGAGGCAGCATGGTGGGGTCGATTCCTTCTAGCTGCCTGAGACGCTCGCACACTGCGTCTGTGTTCAAAGAGCTGAGCAAGATGGCGGGAGAGCCCTACATAATAAAACACATAAACATATAATTGGAACATATTAAGACAGCTTTCATGGAGTTAAAGTCACCAGAGCAAACACACGCACACATTCTGTTAGAGCAACTCATAACTCCTAACACACTGATTAGGGCAAACTGAGCAACAATTCCTGAGAAACAGACGTGCAGGGCTGTTAGCTGCGAGGCACACAGAGGTGCAAAACCACGATCTCACACTGTATTTCTTTCTATCAGTCACACAGTGTAAGTGTAAAAGTAAACATAAATGCCAACCTATCCAAATACGCTGTTACCTTCCCTTATTCTTTTTCTCTGTGTATATATAAGCGCATAATGTGTGTGCTCAACACTTAAGGGATGGAGTCTGTGAGTCTGTGAGCCGACCAACACCGAAGCGGCCTCTGCTGATGAGCAGCTACGTAGCTCGATGCGACTAACACCAGTTGCCTGTTGATGCAACTGGCTGTCTGTGAAGGCCTCACAGACAGCCAAAATGCCACCCGCTGGCACGGAGACCAAACAAACCTCATCCACCCTCCTTCAACCAACCCCCCCCCCCCCCCCCCCCCCCCCCCCCCCCCCCCCCCTCCTCCCGTCCCTTTTCTCACTCACCCCTCTCCCTCTGGCTCTGCTCGTCTTTGAGACAAGCAAAGTTCTCCTTTCTTTCTTCCTTCCTTCTCCCTCTTCTCTCCCTCCCTCCCTTCCTTCCTTCCTTCCTTTCACATTCCTCCCTGCTGAACCTCCTGCGCTGACCTCCTATCACTCTCTTTTCCATCACTGTCTTTCTCTCACCCCTCCATCCTTCCCTCCTCCCGCTCCACTCAGCTATTAGCACTATTAAGACATGGCTTCAGTCTAAGCCCCCTGGCTTTGTTTCTGGTTTCGAGGGAGAGAAGAGCAGAGCTTAGCCGAACTGTGAGTGGTTGTTAGACAAAAAACCTAAGCAGCTCTTACAACACAGTACACAATAATAGGTGCCAACTTTCAGTAATGGCTAGGATGAAGACTGGCACTAAGGGAGTTTAACTACTGATCATATCCACACTCTAGAATGAAACTATGTTAGTGACTCTAATAACTATACTAGTTAAGTTGTGTTTTGCATTGACTTTAAAGCAACAAGTCCGTGTTTCTACAGCATGCAACGTACACCGGTGCAAGTGTTAGGGATGAAGCAGAGATAGGTGGATGATGGAAATGGAAGTAGCATCGAAACCAAAGGTGTACCTGCTTGAATTTGAAAGGCAGCGGCTTTAAATGCTTGATCAGGAGACAAAAAAATAAAAAGCAGACGGACAAGAAGTCAGACAAAAATACACACAGACATTTATAACACTGTGAAACCAGGAGTGTACCTGTGAAAAAAGAAGGCAGGGAGGCAGAAATTTAGACAGACAAGCAGAGAGACTGTAAGGACACATGTTAAACTCATCACCACGACAACAGTGCAGACATTTATCTGTCAAACAGTAGGAGGGGAGACAGCTAGCCAGCCAGTGTTGTCGGCCTGGAAAAGAGGAAGCTATTGGAAGTAGAATTGTCAGAGAAAGAGATTTTGTTTTCGCTGGAGTCAGCTGGCTTTTACAGCCATAATCTTTGCAGACAGAGCGGACTGCGGAGGACATAGAGACAGAAAGAAAGATCCATCTAGAGAATGAGACGTTTCTCACTCTGCAAAGAAAAAGCAGAAGTTTCGATTCACTGAAGGCCTTGAATAAGGCTCCTTGATTCAGACACCGAACGTGTCTTCTAAGAGCGTGAGTGAAAGCATGAATGTCTGCGGGTGTGTCCGTGTGTGTGTGTGTTTGTGTGAACCCTCCCAGTGTGTGTGTGATAAGACTGTAATTACAGCTGGGCTGAGCTCAGGGCTGGGCAGAAGGATGGGGAAGAGGAAACAGAGCTCTGTGAGGGAGGAAGCGTCTTGGTAAGGAGATAAGCTCTACCAGCGCTGGGCTCATTGTCAGTATATATGTGTGTGTCTGTCTGTACGTGTGTTGCCAGCCCCAACAGTTGCTCTGATGATAATCCCAGCAGCCAGAGGAATCCATACTCGCACTTACATCAGCTAGGCAATTACACTGGGATAGGGCTGCTTATATATCCCCACACTAGGAATTACACACAAATGTACACATACACATTTGCAGATTTGTAGAAATGCAGGGACACATGAGCACGACACAAAGAGATTAAGTACAAACCAAAAAAGGGAAGGAAAATGTGAAAATTTATACTAAGGAGGAAAGAGCACAAGGGAGATACGAGGAACAAAAATTGGTATTAAAATATAAGAGACTGATGAAGGTATAAAGGATTTTTTTTTTTAAATTAAAGACACAAAATACAGACAGATAAGAGTTAGACGGAATGAACATTACTCAGTAATCTATATTTAAATCTTTCATACAGCTCCTCTAAATGCTTGCTGGCAGCAGCCTGATAAGTGCCTTTGTGAAGCAGAAATCTCCCGAGTAGCGTTATCATCAAATTGTTCTAATACTGGCTGATTTCTCTTCAAATGTGTGAATATCTGGATGCAGAGGCTCACTTCTTTTCAGTGCAACTCCAAGCATCCTTGATGTAAGTTCACAGGACCTCTACATCCATTTACAAGAAGAAGAAGAAAAAAAAATCCAACCCGCTGTTGATTTTTGCACACTGCCCATCACTTATGATGGGCACAAAATGAGCAATGGGCAGTGTGTGTTTTTGGCTTTCGTTTTAAGACAGACCATTTTTGATCCCACACACTTTTCACCAAGACTTCGCAGTGTGAAATATCCATTTATAAGAGAAGTAGAGATTGCAGTGTGCCAGAATCAGAATTAACTTCATTCAGCGTGTTATAATTACATGTGTTATTGCTTGCACACTCCTTAGTGGGGGGTAATAATCACACCGGATGCAGCTTACTATGAGTATTTAAGAAGTCTGCAGCACGCAGCAGGCGTGACAGCTTATTTTAGTTCTCCTGGCGTTTGTAAACCACTGCAACAAAATAAGTAGCCTGCCGCACAACGAGGCATGCCTGTTATTCGTGCAGCATGTGAGGTTTAAGCATCAGGCCTGCAGGCAGATAATGAAGGACTACTTTTTTTGTTTTTTGCATTAGTGTTGAGTTTGTATGTGCGTATTACACGTCCGCTAATGTTAGTAAGGTTACCATTGTGGGGTCAATGGGGCTTGTGTGGAAGGCTTCGCTGGCATCCTCTGCAATAATGTCCTGATATGGAGTGCAGAATGGAGACAAGGATTGTACAGGGAGACGTGTTAACGAGGGTTGGGGTTATAAGCATGCAGCCTACTGGGAGGACCTTAAACTTCTTAATTTGCAAGGGTAAGGCTTTACAAACAGAGAAATACCCCCGCTAAGGTCAGGACCTGGACTGTGAATGAGAACAGTGATAGTGAAAACAGGGAGTTATAAAATCATTGAGAGGAAATGAAGAAATTTAAAACTAAAGCATATAGAATCACTAACAGGACAAATGAGGTGTGCGACAGAAAAGGAAGTATTAAAAAAGGAAAGGACGTCATACTTTGCGGTTCACAATGGACTTCACAGCACATTAAACACTGAGTGCTAAAACTCCACGCTGTCCTGAGCCTGAAATTTTACAAGTTTAATTATTTAATCTATTAACTTAACTCTGTGTATGTCTAATCAAATAAGACTTTTCTAGCTGCCAGGAAGCACTGCTCAGATGTCATAAACTTATTAACAAAGTGAACCAGAAGAGTAAAAAGCGTTTAAACTTTCAATCGATCCAGTCAAACAACATCAAACACACTATTAACACTTCTTTACGGTGTATGTGCTACGGTGAGATGAAAGCATGTGTGAAATGCATTTAGCCCAACTTCTTTACTTACAAGTCCACTGGTGTCTTGCGGTTGACCAGGTGGTTTAATGGAAGGACGCGAGGATGAGGGGACATGGTGGGAGAAATGCCGTGGCAGGTGATACACGTGATGGGGGAAATAAGGCTACGAGGGGAGAAAGAAGGATTGTGGAAAGGCAGGCAGGAAGACAAAATAAAACAAAAATCATAAAATCATATAAAGGAGCATGAGCATGTGTACATATGACAGGAAAGGATGCTGGGGGGGGATATCATGGTCATGCGGTACTGTCCAAATATGCAATGTAGGTCAACTGATAAGGAATAAAGGACTGGGCAGCTAAATCCAGTAACTCTTTGAAATCCATCTTTATTTCAATAGGTGCTTTCTGACCAGAGGAGCCAATCACAGTTCTTAAGAAAAACAATGAGTAAATATTAGTAGAGATTGAAGGACTCTGATATTGGCTGTGTGAGTCTGCACTCAGTGAAAATGACAATCACAACAACCAAAGTAGATCTGAATCAATATGATTTAATGGAGACTATCAATGGTCAAGGATCAGATTTGGAGGCTAACATCAGCAGCAAGCTGCTGAAAGAAGCTTCTGTCTAAAGGAAACAGCTATTTGTAACACTACCTAAAAGAACATCACACTGCTTTCAACTATGTCCTTGCTGTATTTCCTTTCCGCCTACATTTTTCCTAATTCCTCATTGGTATGTTCTCACATGGGACCACCCCAGTGGGTAGTCCTTAGACCTGTTTGGCCTGAAAGCACCTATTGTGTGCCATTTTTGGGTTGTTAGCATTGTCATTTGGCCATATAGACACCTTTTAGAGTGAGTAGTAGGTACAGGATGTAAGTCATGTTTCCTCACCCGGTTGTAGAAAGGGTGCTGAGGGCCAGTCATTCCACTGAAGTAGGCACTGTGTGGCTGAGGAGGCAGGGATCCGGTGAAGGAGCCTGCTGGGGAGCAGGCGGCAGAGTGTTGGGTGTAAACTGACTGGGGACGGGCCGCTGCCTCTTGGAGGGGCAGTGTGGGATAGGTCACTCCTCCGATGTGCATCTGCTCCCTGGCCGCACGCACATCTAAGAGACGGCAGAGGCAGGGAAGAAGTACAATGGAAAGAGTGAGAGAGAGAGGAAGGGTTTATCTGTGATGCTCATTATCATGTCTTGGCGATGACTATAAAGACCCTTCAGATCCACCCACACATCAATAATTTAGCTTTATTTCATAATCTCTGGAGAGTTTGGACAGTTGTGAATTCAGAGGAAAAAAACTACATATCAAACAGCTGACGTACATGCCGGCAAAATTCTTTGATTCTCAAAGCACTGCAGGGAATACAACAAGAACATTGTTCGTGAACATGTTCTCCTTATCCCAGTAAGAAGAGAGTCAAACAACTACAGACTGGAAAGAAAATTAGCGCAGATGTTACGATTACAGAGACCTTCAACTGTGAATTCCACTCTCACACTGATTCCTATTACTCTGTTTGCTCACAAACAGCAGGCGTGTTGATATTCTCTGTTTTCCAGATTATATGCCAGCCACGTGACGTTTTCTGGCACATGCAGCTCTTTGCTGTCCCCGTCAAATAAATTCGCCCATGTAAACAAACAAAGAGGACCATGTGAACTCATAGACATCATCCCGTAAGTGCTTTGCTACAACCGCTTTCACACGAACCATTCTGACTTTGAGAGAAGTCGTGGAGGAGGTAAGTAGGGAGCTTTGGTTAAAGCTCCCAAATTAAAGTTAAATAAGCCCGAAGACAGAACAGAGTAGCTCTGTGCGGCTGGCAAGAAAGGAAGAACCAGAAACAGAAGCAGGCACCAGAATGTCTCCTGGTTATACAAGTGGCTGCTGAATGACACGCTGAGTGAGACCCAATCCAGCCTGTGAACACAATGGGGGCCTTATGATGTGAGTCAGGCTCATGGGCGGGTATCACTGACAGCACTGCCCACTGGTTGGCCACAGGACACTGGGCACCAAGTACCAACTGGTCAGGGAGGGGAGCGCAGGGAGTTCGATGACTGGGTAGGAGCGTTGGTCACCTTCCGTTTCGCCGTGGATAAGAGTGGAGGCACAAACGCCCACAGTTTTGAGCACGTACAAACACAAACACATGTTTCATGGATGCATACACTACACGCACCTTTTTAGGAACAGAGTACTGTACTTACAGATCGGGGCGTTTGGTTGTAGTACTTTGTCAGCTGCGCCCTCCGTGACTCAAAGTTGTCTCAGTGGAACAGACTTTCTGTGTGTGCGAGTGTGTGTTTTCTGTGGTCTCATAACTCTATGATGCAGCAGCTTCACACCAGGCGTCATCCACACTCCTGTACGGGCCGAATGGACGCTGACGCACGGTAGCGAAAGTACAACTCCGCTCCGGCTTACAGTTTAACAGTGATGCACTATTACGTCAGTGTAACTACAAAGTGTGAAATTTGGTGCTGCACTATGGCCAGATTGGAAACGGGGAGCGAAGGCATTGTCCTGATCGTACAGCGCTGGTCGACATTTGATTGTTTGGAAACGAGACCCACGCTGTGGGTTACTGAGAGCCCCTGCAGTGGGCGATTTTAGAGCAAACCCTGCTACAATGCTATGAGTAATGCCACTGCCAAATGAGCTGGCACTGCACCGGACACATTGCATAGAGGACAGTTTTCAGTGTCTCCATGCTATTGTACACCATTCAGTTTTGGGGGTTTTTGTCCCATCATAACAGCTAAATCATCCACGTGCCAACTGAGCTTGTCCGTGTGCTGAAGATGTCCATGAGATGTGGCTGAAAGCTTCAGAGGCAACAACAGAGTTCATCCCCTTCATGCTCCCTTTCCTTTCCCCAGATTGCAACAAAATAAAACAGATTTTGATGTGGTAGACTGCACTCTCCAGCACTATCATCAAAATACCAAATGAGGGAATATCTTTTGAAAGAATGCTAATCCCTGCAGGAGAGCACAGGAGACTGCCAAAGAGCACTGAAGTTATTCTGACAGGATATTGCAACTCAAATATCTACTAACACTATGCTATTTATGGCAGGGGTTTGTTTTCTTTTCTGCCATCTGTAAAATATACCATGTGTGTACAGACCTGCTATGATCTCCCGCAATTTGGGGTCCAAGTTAACAGTGCAGGGCAGAAACATCTCCACATCTCTGGCAGTAAGAACAGGCGTCCTGGAGGAGAGGAACACTTCAAAGCTGCGGATGTCTCCGTCGATCTCCAGCAGAGGCTCCACGTCCTTTGTGGTCGGGATGTTCTTGGAGATTCTTTAGAGGAATGAAGAATTTTTGAAGGAGTTATTGTAGTGAATATTTACCTTAATTGATACTTATTAAGACGAAAAATGCCAAGGACAACAAAAAACACACGGCACCACTGACTATTTGAGGGTGTTTAGAAATGTGATGTTTGCAACCGCTGCTGGCATGACTTATCAGAATGTATGTATGACATTAGTTAACACCATTTTACTACATCTTGTATTGCACGTGAACACTAAATTAGAAATCAGAAAGGTAAATTACCCTTTGATCAAATACTTGAACAATACAAATAACAGAAATTTAAAAAGAACCAATTGGAAACAATATTACAATTTGACACCTTTTACTCCTCTTTATGAGTTAAGAACCAAAGAGAGCACAAGGATGACGACAAACTATTCTGTCTTACTGACAAATATGGCATAAATATGTAACTGCATGCTAAATTCTGACTTGTGGATTCATAGCAAAAAATAGAAATCATTAAATTCTGACAAAAAAAGGAAAGAGGAAACAACAAGCAGTTCTGTTAAGATTGAAAAGATATGACAACGGTCATCATCATCATGAGAGCAGAGAGATAACTGGATTTAGAAAAAGGCGAGATAGTGAAAGCGGGGATGTTCGAGTACAGATAGAGTGAGGGATGTTATCTTTTCTGAGCAGAGGAGGAAACCTGAGAAGATGACAATCAGGGTAATTTAGCAAGCAGCAGACGGAAGCGCGTCATGATGTGCTGCTACGGTTAACGTGATGTTTGTTATCACAGGCCCTAAGTAAACACCACGTTTGGAGGTTGTTCTGTTTCTGCGTGATTATAGTTTTCCTGGTCTATACAGCAGGGGGGAAAAAGCTGTACTACATGAAGAACTTTAGATGAGAACAATTTATCGACGCTGTGTTCAGCTTATGGAATATTCCATTTTAAAACACTAAAATTAAAATTTTATAAACCAAATTTTAGACCCCGGAAATGCTGCATATGGATTACAAATGCTGAAAGGTTATGAAGTGAGGACTTTTATTTAAACTGAATAATGTTAAAAGTGCTATCACAAAATCACAGAAAGGGTAAAATGAGGCCAAGGATACACAGGATACAAACAACAACAAGCCACAGCAATCAGTACATCTCGACCGATCCTATCATTCAGACAGGAAAATATGAAACTTGGAGTGACTTATGACACCGGCCATTCATCATGAGAGTATGCAGCTCTTATCAGATGAATGAGGAGACTTCAGTGGGGAGTAGACATTTTTCTCATCTCGGCTTCCATTTGTCATCCAAACCCTTCATCATTTTCTCAGTAGATGCTTTTCTCTCCCTACATCTCCCTTAACCTTCCCTCCTTACAGATCAACCTCAACTCACCCTCCTCTAATACATCATCCAGTCTGTCTAGTGGTGAGCTGTGCAGGGAATACAAGCTGGAAAAGTTGGGGTTTTTCTCAAAGACTGAGCTGTTTTCAACAGTGAACACAGACTCGTCTTTCTGTGACTTGATTGGATGATTAGTACGGCTGCTGCTGCTGCTGCATGCTAGCTAAGTCAGGATGAGGTCAGCATCTGGCCAGAGCTCAACACAGCAGACTGTTAGCTAATAATCCAAAATATAAACTAACTTAATCTGGTTAACACGGTGGCCTGAAATGTCCTCCATCAGCCCATTCCAGTGAAGTTCTCATACCTCAGTGATGGGTGGTCACAAACAAGTCCTTTAAAGGTGCAGAACACTCAGTTACAAGTTACATAATTTCCATTTCTGGCTGTTAGTTGACACTCCAGACTGCTTACAGTGAGTGAACAGGTAGGGCTCCAGTCCTCTGTTCAAGGACATTTCCACAGGACAGATGGCTGGTGATAGACAGGTCTGCTGCTGCAGCGCTAAAACCTGTGACCTTGTTGCAGGTTCATGCTCAAGTCTGACAAGAAATACTGACATTTGGGTGTCTTAGAGAGACATTCTGGCGTGTTTGGTAGTCATAATAAATGAAAAATAAATATATGACATGCAAATCCCGCATGTTGATAGCATATACATTATTTCAGTTGAATCAAGTGAATGTTTTCATATTTATCTTCCCACTCAGGATCTTCTCTTAGAACAGCCCAGGTGGCTCACAGCAACCCTTTGTACCCACCCAACTGCTACTTAGAAAAGACAGTGAGGAGTAGGGATGGGTACCGGTATCGTTCTGACATAAACGGT